CCCTAAAAGCTTTATCCTTATCTCTGCTAAGTCCCCTCTTTGTCCTAGGACTCCTGTCCCTTATCCGCTTATCTCGGCTTCCGATATCTTCGGAGATAACCTCGGCCTAGCTGAGATGACCTCGGCACAACGACCAAGACACGTGGCACCTTGGCTGACACGTCGGCGTCACCTTGCCACGTGTTGGTACTTAGAAAATATATCCCCACAATTATATTTAGTGTTTTTAATCTAATTATATTTAGGTAAGAAAAATCTGATGATCAGGGTGTGGTTTGTTGGTTTTTCCTCTATGGCCTTTCTTTCACCTATTTTATTTTATTATTTACATATTTCTTGATCTGAATGATTTTGAACTGTTAAATTTCTAGTTCAACATGAAACCTTAAGAAGACTTGTAAGAACACATGGTAACATAGAAGATGTTTTATTAGAAGTTGGAAAACAAATAATCCGCTTTTCTTAATTTTGGATTCCTGTGTTAGTTTTTGAATTCTTTGGAGAGAAAAAGTAGAAGAGAGCATGAAATTGAACTCTTATCTCAGCCAAAAGATTTTGCAAATTTAGTTTTGAGAGTTTGATACTAAAATCTAGTTGCATTTTAGTATATATCCATGATTTATTAGTCATCATATATATGCTCCCTGAAATTGGAAAGTAGGCTTCATTGTAATTAACGAATTTCCAACCCTATAAATAGGACTAAATTTGCGTTTAATGTGTCTTTCAGCACGTTGAAGTTCTTGTTCCTGCTCCAAAAAAGGACTAAATTTGCATTAATTGATTGACATGCACATGACCACTATCTCAAATGGAAATTTTATATCCTTGTTGCAAAAATTGTTTCTAAACTTTCCATAATGCCATGATTAACAAAGAAGCATGGAGCATTAGAGGTACACTAGGGCAGAGTAATATAATATCTATAGCTTGAGAATGTCAACAATGGTGCTGTTATTGATGCCCTTGTCAAGACATGAGGTTGCATTTGTGAGAACATAACACAATTAATGATCACCCTCATCTGACAACACAATTTATAGTAAACAGAAATGCTACGTAGTTAGAAAATTATTCAAAATTTGAATATATAATATGTAAGTTTTGTTATAATATGTAAATTTGGTACTGCCACGTATGGAAGATGGCCCCCTCTTGATCTCACTCTATTTTTGTTTGAATTGAATAGTAACTAAGCCTTTAAATGAGTAGGTATTTGAAAAATGAGTAACAGTGATGAAGATGAACGGAACGATGATCACGCAGCACATCGCAAATCCAACAAAATAATAATATGCTCTTAGCTACGGCGGCTACAGTTGCAGTGACATGTGCAACAAATTATTTGATAAAAAAATCGTGTAGGACATCTAGTTTAACAGGAGGGAAGTGGATGATAGAATTACAAGAAGGGAATCGGACAAGAATATTTGAAAATTTTCAAATGGAAAGAGAGGTATTTTATCAATTGTGTAATTTGTTACAGACAAAGTACGGCCTTGAAACTGGACGAAAGTCTCGGTTCAAGAGCAGGTTGCAATATTTTTGTATATTGTTGGCGGTGACATTCGAAACAGAAATGTCCAAGAAAGATTTCAACATTCCAGCGAGACTATTTCAAAATACTTCAAGAAGGTGTTAAAGGCTGTTACAATGATGTCCATTGATTAGGTAAGGCCTCAACCGACTAATGGTGTGTATCCATATATTCGACGCAACTGCAAATATTATCCTCATTTCAAGATAAATAATTAACTACAAATGCAACTTGGGTGTTACATATAATTAATGTTGGTAGGATATCTCTAATAATCTGTGGCTAAAAATATATTTATTCGCTATTATGTAATAGGATTGTATTGGAGCAATTGACGGAACACACATCAAAACATATCTATCTCCAGATAAGCAAGCTTGTTTAATAGGTAGAAAGGGGTATGCAACTCAAAACATAATGGCTGCATGTGACTTTGATATGTGTTTCACATTTTGCTTACCAGGATGGGAAGGAAGTGCACACGATACTCGGATCTTTTTAGATACAATTAGGAATCCTAGTTATAATTTTTCAAAACCACAAGGAGATAACTGTTTTATATTTAATTGCTACAATAGATGCCCCACACTCACATCTTCATATTTATTTTTACATTTATAATTGCTTACTTTAATTTCATTTTGAAATTTTAAAATAGATGAGTTTTACTTGGTGGATGCTGGTTATCCAAATATGAAAGGATATTTTGCATCTTACAAAGGAGAGAGATACCATCTAGCTCAATTTGAACATAGTCAACCCACCAAAATGCACAAGAAAAATTCAACTGAGCACATTCATCACTTAGAAGTTTAATAGAAAGAACGTTTGGGATTTGAAAAGCAAGATAGCCGATGATAAAGAATATCCCACCAAACTACAAGTGGTCGACCCAAGTCAAACTTGTTTGTGCAACAATGACAATTCAGAATTTCATCCGACGAAGTGAGTTCCGCGATATTGCATTTGACTCTTATAATAGATTCACGGATTATGTGCCTAATGAAGAGGAAGGATCTTTGTCCCAACAAGCACGCCATGTAAATGATGTTGCATGTGATGATAACGAGATGGAAGTGAAGAGACATAACATTTGTATGTCAATTTGCAGACGATGAATAAAAGTTCTTTAAATATTTAGGAAGTTTTATTTTTCTTACCTTAATAGTAATCTATTGTATTTTTATTGCAGTGACATTGTTTTGTTCTCTTGTGAACTCAATATTATTAAAAAAGAAAAAAAAATTGAGATAATGTAAAAATGTACTAAATTAGGTATTAATTAATCAACTTCCATTAATGAAATAACTTATTCAAAATTTAAAGTGAAGAAAATGAAAAAATTATAATTTTTATGTTCATAAAGGCAAAATGACAATTACACAACAAAAAGTTATTTTACAGCTTATTTATCAAATATCATTCTACTGCTTAAATATATAATATCACAGTTACACCAAACAGGTTACTAGCTTATGCTCTCAGCTGTAAACTATAATATATATTTATTTTCCCACAACTCTACCAAACAGCTCCAAATTGTGGGTGCTTGAGCTTGCCCGTTCATTACAAAATGATTAATTTAATTTATCAATATATCAATTGATGTATTAATTAATATATTAATAAATAATATAATATAATATTAAAAAATTTAAATTTTTATAATTTGTATAATAAATAGTGTCATGATTTTAAAATAATAATATGATAACTAAGTTGTTACGATGCGGAACCTCCAAATATGGAATTTCTTTTTTTTCTTCTTTTGTCACCATATCTCTCTTTCTTCCTTTCCCTTATCTTTCTTTCTCTCTCTCTCGTTTCTTTCCAATATATAACAATAATAATAATAATTATAACAATATTATAAAATATATATTATTTGATTAAGATGATTTAAATAAATATATATTTTTAATATTTTATAAAAAAATATATAAAAAAATAAAAAAGTGATGTGATAAAATTTTTTTTTACTTATATAGCACATCCAAATTATATTATCATTTTTTATTTATTTTTTATTTGATAAAACACAATAACTTTTAATTTAAATCAAATTACATTTATTTATTTATTTGGTAAAATATAATAACTCTTAATTTATATCAAATTACATAATATAATAACTCTTAATTTAAATCAAATTATATTTTATTGCACATAATTATAAAATTAAAATTTTTGAAATGTTACAATACACTAATTAATATATACATAACCACCATATTACAATCAATTTCCAGACCCCAAATGGACTCTCGGTAGAAAATTTTTTTGGGGTCCTCAAGCACCACGTTCATCTTCTTCACCAATAATTATACACTAAACTTCCAAAATTTCTCACTTAGGGGTCTTTTGAGAACACATCAAAAAAATTCAGTTTTTTAACTTTTTTTAGTCAAAAAAGTTAATTTTTTTACCAAAAATAACTCGGTTTTTTATCAAAAAAGTCACCAAATAAAAAAATTTTATCAACTTTTCAAAACACCACTTACTATAAAATTACAAAAGGCAAATTACAAACACTCCCCTCGAGATTTGATAAAAATACAGATTCCTTCCTAAGGTTTGAGAAATTACAAATTATCTCATAAGGATCAAATTTTCATAACAAATTAGGGGAAATTAAGAGGGAATCTGTATGAAAATAAAAACCTCAGAGGGTAATTTGTTATGAAAATATAAACCTCAAGGGGCGAGATGTAATTTTTTAAACCTCAAGAGGAAATTTGTGTTTTCACCAAATCTCGAGGGAGGTGTTTGTAATTTGCCCAATTATTAAATTTCATAAAATTATTCGCAGGCACATTAGGTGACCATATTGAAGGAGTATCTAATAATTACTTAGGCCTAATTTAATAATTTTTAATTTAGTTTGAATCACATAACCCTTCTATATTATTTTTAAAAGAATTTAAAAATTAATTTTTAAACAACCTCCTAAAAGAACACTTATCCTCAGTTAGCGTTTCGATTCTCTCTCTCTCTCTTCTGTCGAGCAAAAGATCAAACGATTTATGCTTGCATTGAGTGATTTGGGAAGGAAAAAAAAAATGATATGATATGTATTTCTCTTATTTGTTTGGATAATTTAAGGAGAGAGAAATGGAAAAAAATAGAGAGAAACTAATTTCTCTTATGAGACTCATTTTCAATCTTTCTAAAAGTGGAGAGATTGAGAGAGAAAAGAAATCACTATTTTCATAATACCTATTTTGTCTTTATAAAAATAAAAAAAATAAAATAATTAAAAATATAAAAAAATTATTTTGATAATATACTATAAAATAATTTCTTTTCTTTTCTCTTAATGAAACCTAACCAAACAAAAATAAAAAAAATCACAATTATTTATTTTATTTCATTCCTTCCTTATTCAAACAAAAATAAAAAAAATACAATCTATCTCATTTCTTTTCCTTTCTACTATTACTAAACTAATCATTTTTTTTTCATTCCTTTTCTCGCCTAAGTTCCAAACATAGTGTTAGGGTTCAGGTTATCTCCGCCACTCCACACGTAACGCAATCTGAATTGACAGAGAGAGAGGGAGAGGATGTGGCACGAAGCTCGGAGATCAGAGAAGAAGGTCCACGAGCTGATGGACGCGGCTCGGAAAAGAGGTCAGAGACGAGCAGTGTATTTGGCGAAGAGGCGTGGCGATCCTCTGCAATCGATCCAGGTCATCGGTTCTCGCTCCCGCATGTACCGCGACGACTCGCTCTACCAGGCCACCCAGGATCACCAAGGCCTGTATGTTTTCTTTCTCCCCCCCTAATTTCTGTTTCTCCATCTTTGCTTTTTCTTTCTGTTTTCCATCATAAAATTTGTAATTTGTTTCATAAATATACAATGGGCAAGAGATTTTTGGTTTTTCAGCGATGGTTAAATTGGAAAATTGAAGGATTTATAAAAGTAAGTACATAGGTAGGTGTAACTGTTGTCTTTAGGGTAAATTAGGGTTTCATGTGCACGATCTGTTTATCTTCTGTAAATAAATGTTGATAAAAAATAATCATTAATTTGATATTCAATACAAGTAACAAGATATGTACCAATGTAAATTCAAATCACATTTATAAGTGCTGTTGGGGAATAGAAGAGAAAAAAAATACCTTCAAACAATTTAGCTGTGTTGTGGAATAAAGACTTGGAGCTTTCCAATATTTTGCCAACTAATTTAAATTAAACTAAGCAGATTTAACGTTTTCCTTTGACAAATTTAAAATAACCTCAAAAAAATGAAATAAAAAAAGAATAAAAAGGGGAAGAAGCTTACCGTGTATAGTTCAAAGGGTACTTCGAAAAACATGCCGTGCCAGATATGTACCTCGTATGGTACTTCTACATACGTGTCGGGTACACGAAACACGTATCCAATTTTTTTTTTCTTAAATTTTGGCGTATCCAAACGTACCTAGTATATACCCAAGCCATACCGTATCACAGTTGAAGCAATATTTTCTTATACTACAGGAATAAAACTTCTTTTACTAGATTTTTTTTTTATTTTTAGTTTTATACTTGGCATGATTTTAAAATTAAACTATGATTTGTAATTTATTTAATATATTGACATTTAATTTTAATTTATACCTTTACTTTTGACATTAAATGTTAATTATAGGTTGGATCTTAACAAATTAAATCATTTAATTAATTTTTACATGACTCTAAATTAAAAATAAATATTTTTTTACAAGCGTACTAAGCCGAAGCTGTACCCGTACCCTACTTTTTTGGATTTTATCGTATCGACGTACTCGTATCGTACTAGTACTTGTACCCGTACCCGTGCTTCATAGGTCTACACCTAACAACATTTGATTTTTTGGAATGAAGATCTACACCCAAGACTACAAGATTGTGCCTTAAAACAGCTGATCTCAAACATGAACAAGTTTACCTTGTATGCTTTATACCTGACAACATTTGATTATTTGTCTGAGCCCAATTCTACAAAATTGTGCCTTAGAATTGTCGATCTAACAATTTCTCACTATATTGGATGCAAAGGAACTCATCTAAGCTGAAGAGATAATAAAACAAATGAAGTGTTTTTTTCCCCTTGCAAGTCAAATGCAGTATCAGTGTGATTTTCGTGCTGCATACTATACTGGCTTGCAAGGAGTTTAGGGGCCACTGACTGCATAATGCCTGTCACTTCACAGATCATCAGCTACTTCCAGACCTTGCTCTAAGTGAAGTTCACTTGGCCTTGTGCATAAAAATATACAAACATGTCATGTTGGTTCTAAGTAGAATTTGAAATTACTTGTGGGTTGTCCATTTGGTAAAAGATTTATATATTATCATATCCTTTCTCATGCAATCAGCTTATCTTCACTGTTCCTAGTTCCATCATGGTTGAGCATTTTGATTTTAGCTAATCTTTATTTTTATCTCAGGATACCTTGGAATGGGAAACAAGATATTTTGATTGACAGGTACATTTGTCTCTGTGCTTGTGTCTCTGTGTGTTGGTCAAGGTGTTTCACTTTACTGATCCTCTATACTCTTTACAGATTTGACGGTCGAGCTCTTCTCGATTTTGTTCGGGATTCTAGTTCTCGACGTTTTCATGCCCCAGAAAAGACACAGGAAGAAGAAGAATTAGAAGAGTTTGTTAATTTTGAGCGTTATCGGGATTTAATTAAGCATCAACGTAGAGGATGTCGGTACTTTTTTGATTTTTGATCATGTGTTGAATTCATGAACATATATATATATATTATGCTTTATGTATTTTCTAGTTATTAATAGGCATTCCGCAACAGTTTTCATGCATGTGTCTGGGGGAATCATTCTTATGGCAAGAGATTAATGTACTAACAATTTTACGAACTAAGTATTGTTTATTAACAGTTACTGATGAGGAGGGTTTGCAACATGTGGATCACGAGATAGAGGCAAAGATTGCTACACCATTTGGATCTGACAGGTTCAACCTTTTTGTTCTTAGAAAAGCTCTCCCTTTTTCCCTTTCTTCTTTTTAAAACTAAATTATGTTGTTATTTAGCCATTTGATTAATTATGAGTTCTAGAAGCATTCAAAAACAGGACATCTACTCACTGTTGAATAAAATGTGAGAGTGCTTCCTCCTTTTTGTTGTCTTTGCAATGTGGAATGACAACTTTTTTTGTTTTTAAGTATTTTTATTTTTACCCTAATCTCTTATGATAAGTGTTATATTCTATTTGTGAAAATACTAGAAGGTATTTTTCAACTGATGGTTTGGTAGCATGTTTAATGGCTCTTTTGTGAGTAATTCTTCACATAATGTCTCATGTCTCGTGTATATCTTCTAGATCTCATCCAGCTCAGGCTCCAGCAAGCAAGGGTACATATTCTCAGGTGGGTTTCTCTTACGAAGGGGAAGGAAAAGGGGAAACCCACTATTCCGATGGCGATGAGGAAGAGGAGGATGATGATGACGATGATGACGATTTTAACAGTGATGATAGCAATGATGAAGAGATGGAGAAAATTGCAAAAGAATTTGGTGTCAAGAGGTATGGTTGGCTTGTTTACATGGATAAAAAGGCTAAAGAGGAGGAAAGGAGGCAAAAAGAAGTCGTCAAGGGGGATCCTTCAATTGTAAGTTTGTCAAAACTGTAGATTGCGACACTTTGGAAATCTCAATTGTGCTAAAATTCTGCGCTGGGTACTTTGAATTTTTCAGAGGAAGCTTAGTCGCAAGGAAAGGAGGAAGGCTTCTCAAATTGAAAGAGAGAGAGAAAGAGATGCTGCCCAGATTACCGGCACTCTTGGGATTCGTCATGATCCCTACAGGTCAACATCAATATGTTATCTTTTTGCATTTGTTTGGTGGGATATATAAAGCATCTGAAATCTATAAACCTTCAGATGCAAAATGGCTAAACTGAGCATTGCGTTATGCTGATGTAGTTAATATTAATAATTTGCAGGGAATCTAGACGAAGTCCAACTTATGAGGCTTATTCTCGTTTTAGAAGGTGTGTGTGCGTGCTTCCCTCTCCCCCCTAATGGACTTGTTTTGTTTTATTAATGTTATTGTTGATCTATTTTGGCAGATCAAGGTCACGGTCTTACTCCCCATCACACTCAAGGCGCAGTGCTCGTGGTGTGCATGCTGATGATGGTTATCAAAGCAAGTCAAAGGCTAAAATAGAGTATATTACTGAATTTGGTGGATTTGCTGATGGGGATGAGAGAAAGCTTGAAGGATTTTCTCCACCACTGTCTCCTCCATCACAAGCTGATGTTTTGAACCGGTCGGAGCACTCGACCTTTAATTCTTGCAAAGATAGATTGGACAGTCTTTACTCTGCTGCAGCTTATCCTCCATTATGTTACCTGAGGCAAAGTTTTATGGTTTAGAATTTGTGAGGCTTAGGTTATCAGCGTAATTGCCGAGAGGGAGACGGAAGGAAGCTTCTTTTTTGAAGCTCATTTTCTCCCAAAATGGGCTTTTGTATGAATGCATCCAAGTTACCTAGAAGCATTAAAATGGGTGTCTAATGCTTATTCTTTTCTGCAGGCCATCATCTGGTCGGATACTTGAGGCCCTGCATATTGATCCTGCTTCCAGTCTATCCCATGATAAGGACAAGAATACTAAAGTATCGAAGCCACAAGTGAGGTATTTCATGATTTTTGGGTTGAAATGCAGTATCATCAGCTTAATTTAATAGACTTGTATGTGTAGATAATGAGGATTTGAGGATCTTATTGTTATGCTTCTTTTTGTTTGCTATCTTTGTTCCATGTGCAGCACTTCATCAGCTTTAGCAAAGTTAAGTAAGCCAACAAGTAGTGGGGCCCTATCCAAACAAGGGGAGAAGAAGGAAACACCTCAAGAGCGACTTAAACGAATCATGAGCAGGCAACTTAATAAACAAAGTATATCCTATTTTATCTGCATTTTAGTAGTTACGCAGCTAATCCAATATTATTTGTTGCCATATCGTGATGGAGCTTGATAGGAAGTGATATTTTTTTGCTTTTATCTTCATTTTTTCCCTCTCTTATCTCCTCACATTCTGTTATATGGTTTCATATCTTTATATATATATATATATAATATTCATTAGCCTCATTGATTGCTTTTGCAGTTAAGAAAGATACTGCTATTGAAATGGCAAAGAAAAGAGAACAGGAGCATCGGAGGCTTGAAAAACTTGCAGAAACAAGCCGATTTAATCGATATAGGCGTCGCAGCCGCAGCAGAAGCTACAGTCGATCTCCCTCAAGGTAGGATGATCCCTGCTTAGATGCTACTGCATGGTTGTGCAATACATTTTGGTCATGTTTGTTTGGATGGACATGAGTTTGGGATTGGATTAATAGTCCAATAAAATTATTAATCCGATGTTTGGTTAAACAATTGAAGTACGGATTAATTATTTTAAACTTGACTATTAGTTAAGATAGGATACATAATCCAACGAATTGGTAGTCCTAGGACTATTAGTCATGGGAATGCTAATCCAGTCCGCCCAAACAAACATGGCCTTTATGGCTTGAAGACCCGTCATTTTAGAATGTTTATGGTGATCCATTCAAGATGATCTGGGTTTAGGACTTGGCTCTAAGTTCTTGATGGAGCTGCCTGGAGAAGGATTTAGGTAGCCCAAGTAGTTGGGATTCAGGCTTTGTAGAGTTTAAATCAAAACATAATTTTTTGGTTGTCCAAATTTACCATTCAATTGTACTTGGAGCCATGGTCTCTTTAAAATCTTTTCAGATCATGGACTTGGAAAAACAAGAAATGATGCTTCTTGTTGCATCTCTGATGGTTTTTAAGGTTTTTGACTTATGAACCAACCTTATGGGCATTAAGAATTATTACTAATTTATGAACCCAACATTCGATGTTCTTCTGGTGAAGTTTGTAAAAATTAAAACTAATACTTTCTGTCACCGGGTGCATCCCACATGTGCTTACTGCAGAAGATATAGGCACAGCAAAAGTCCAAGTAGAAGCAGGAGTTCTCGAAGATGTTATTTCCGTTCTCGTTCTCGTTCACTGTCCCACTCTCACTCTCCCCCCTACTCACCTTCTCACACTCGTTCTGTCTCACGCTCTCGCTCTCCCGCTCCCAGGTGATTTTATTGTTTTTGTGTTGCTGTTTTTTGGGATGTGCACACTTTGGCACTGATGAGAGACACCTAATGTTGCAGGGTAAGTAGCCGTTCAAGGTATTGATAAAGATATTGTAGCTGGACGAGTGGCAGTGAGTATAACAAGTGGCAACCTTCTCTCTGAAATAAGAAAATACAACAATGAGCGGCATCAGCAGCAGCCTGCAGCTACCTCTCATGTCACTGTGTATGTGGAATTGTCACAGGGATGGTGCCAACACTTGTGCCTTGTTCTTTGCTCAAATATTTTTTTAAGTTTTATTGCATTTTGTACGTACAATGACTGAGTAATTACTATTATTAGCTCTTGCTTGATCAATGCTCTCTGTACTTCCCATTCTTTTCTAATGGTGGCCGTGCAAGTATGGTTGGTTTTTTATTTGAATTGGGATTTAGGCAAAGGTCGTTATCCACTTTAGTTTGTTTAGTCTTCGTACTATTTGGTCATTTGGGATTTGAATGTTAAACTTCATGGTTCTTCTACATGTGTTAGAATCTGATTGGAGGAGTTGTTTCTCATATGGGTGTGGAACTCATTACATAGAATCCACACTAATGTGAGTATTATATAAAATATTTGATAATACATTTACGCTGTGTTTGGTTGGGAAATTTAGAGAGGGAATTGGGGAAAAAAAAAAATGTGTACGAAATTAGGTAAAATATAGGTATATTTTATTTACATTTTTATCAATTATTATTTTTTTCTTTTTAAATCTTTTTTTAAATTTCCTAACCAAATATAGTATTAAGGTACTAACATTCATTAGGGTCTAACATTTTTTAAGATTTAATTGAAACTAGAGGATATAATTATGGGGCTTGATGACTAGGGAAGATATATTAAGGTACAAGTGGGAGCACTTGCCCTTGGTGCCAGACCCCGAAATTTTACAAGAGGGTTAAAATGCTAATTTCATTTAGAGTGGTGATTCATCCTATTAATTTTTGGATCACTAATAGTTCTAATGAGCTTAAAAAAAAAAAAACAAACAAACAAACAAACTCAAGCTAAAACATCACATCATTTTGATGGGAGTCACTGTGTCACATCATTAATGATGCTCTAGAGTTTCCAATTTAGTACTTAAAAACATTATTTTTTCATTTATGGGGCTCGATGAGTAGGGAAGATAAAATTATTTAAATTGGGAGAGGGTTAAAATGTTAATTTCATTTATAAACAGTCAAATTAATATGGGTTCATGTCAGTTTTGTTTAAGTTTGAGAGGTTATGACCCTACGTGCCTCCACTAACTTTATTGATATATGTTTTAAAATTTATTATTACTATTTTTTTATTGAAAATTTATTTTTAATATTGATACATTAAAATTTTAAAATTGCCCCCACTAAAATAGAAAAATGTTATATTTTATCTATAGTTTAAATTTTTTTTGTTTAATTTGTCCTCCCAAATAAAAAATCTTTGATTTGTCATGTCGTCTCTCATTTGACGTCAACTTGATGCCTATTTTATATATTTGAAGACACTTGGATCTTTTGCGCGAGTGTTCTACAAGCGAATTACCATACCATTAAAAAAGAAGAGATCAATGTTTTGCAAGGGCCGAGCTGGAAGTGAAGTTCCTAAAAATTGACTTTCGAAAATTTTGAATGGTATGTCATGTCATTTTGGGGACTACGATAAGATTTTGAAACTTGATAATGTTTTCTTAGAGAGATGTTCTCTGGAGGAAGGGACGTACCTCGTCGGAGGATTCTCTTCTTAGGAGGCCGTTACTTCGAGATTGAAAAAGTAAGGGAAGATCAGATTGGGCGTCGGAGTTTGGTGATTGTGGAGTGAGGGCAGGGTCTTCGTAGAGCGATTATCCTTCACGAGTACGAGGTTGGATGGTGTTGTGAGAAGCTTCGGAGGTCCTCGCGGGAACCAAGTTGTTTGGCGTACTTGGGTCGTCTGATTGGTGGGTGTCAGAGTGTAGTAGTGTGTAGATTCGAGGAGAAAATGATGGTAGTTCATTGTTGTGGTGACGACGGGTGATAGAAGAGAACAAATTTTTGTGCTGGAATATGAATTTGGGGGTGGCTAAGAGAGGATTGTGTTGGTCATGGAGGGTTTTACTTTTGGGGATGGTTGAACTAGACGCAAATAGAGCCAACAGAGGATGGATGCATCAAAGGGGCCACCGACGGTGAATGCGGCGGTACACCGGGGTGGGTTAAGGGGGATGTTATGGTTAAGGAAGGAGCTGAAGGGGGATGGTTTCAGAAGCTGGACAAAGCAGTGGTGGGGACATTATGGTTGTCACTGATTGGGTGCATCGATGGTGGAAATTGTCTAGGGAAGTGGAGGTTTTTGGTATTGGAGGCTAGTTTTACCTATTCGTCTTCTGGTCGAGGCAAGAGGTGGGAGGCGGAGGTTGTGGTGCATCAGAGATGGACGATAGCTAGTCACGACCTGGTCCTCAACTGGTGGTCGTCGGATTCGCTCTGTACTGATGGAAAGGTACTAGTTTTGGCACGAAGCAACTAGATACAGGTATTGGGCCTCTCGATCCATCTTCAAGGCATTGAGGTGTACCGAGCGATTAGAAATATGTACGGAGGATTTGTGGTGGTCGATGAGTCGATAGAGCTACTGGAGTGTGTTCGGATGAACGTTCACGGCATGGTCAGTGGGATTCTGTCGCAGATTTTAATCCGACGGGGCTCATAGCGCTACACACTTCCAATTTGGTCAGAAATTGGGCCGGTAGTGGTCTGTGCTCCGACGACGATTGTTCCATGAGATGAGAATCAACTGGGGTGTGGAACATGCGAATTTAGGGCGGCATGAGTGGCGAAGATAGCGGAGGACATATCATTCTTAGATGAATAATGCTTGGGACCCCCTTTTGGGGGTCACCCCCTCACCCCCTTTGCCACGTGGCAGAGGGTGATTGGTGGAGCAGGAAAAAAAAAGAAAAAGAAAAAGAAAAGGTGACCAATGAGAGAGAGAGGGGGTCAAAGGGGGTGGTGGGAAAAGGGGGGATGAATCATTACTCTTCTTAGATATTGGGAGGACAGAGGGGATTTCAACCTAACCTTAAGAGATTTGGGAAATTTATGGGTGATAGTCAACAGATGATTGCTTTAGAGGAGTAGGGGCTTAGGCAGGCTTGGAGACCATAAGCCCAAGCCCAACAAGAGCTGGGCCAAGTAGACCAAGAGAAGCAAGTTTAGGCCCAAATTGAGGCACACAGAGAAGTTGAGGAAGTTGGGCATGTAGACCTGACTAAAGAGGGCCCAAAAGGTGACTTAGAAGATTTAAATTTAGTTCATGGTATTAAGGTTGGGCTAGGTCTTAATCCTATTGCGCCAAATCTGCAGCACTCGGGTCAAACGGACGACCCGCCTATATAGGGGGTTTTCGAGCTATTACGACGGAGTGTGGGTTCGAGTTTTACAGAGACGTTTTTACTGGTGAGGAAGGAGCGAGGGTTGTCGGTGATGAATCTTCGGTCGACGGAACATTGCACTAGCCCCACTATTGGCTCCTTGTGACGTGATTCTGAGCCCAATCTTGTAGATGGCTGAGTTGTTTTGAGGTCACCTCTTGTGCTTAATCAGCTGCTAGATCTGAGGACTGAAACTTAAAACAAGGAGGGAGAGAGGCTGGGCCGCAAAGACGACTCTGAAATTGGGATGGATTATGGCGCAGCAGTAGGTCAATGGATAGATGAAAGCGAAAAACTACCTCTAGTTTTGCATCCTTTGGCGATAGAGAGAGGGGAGTTTAATGCAGCTGAGTATGGGACTGACAGAGAGATAACGATAACTGGTTTTGTGGGAGAGAAGCCTCCTGGTTCGGGAGAGGTGTCCGACTGGGTGCTGTTGGGGTATCATTTGTTGGGCATGAGGATCTAGGAATGAAGCTGTTTTCGGCTATAGAGACATCGTGAATGAGGAGTGCTCCTATGGGGAAACAAATACAGGTTGCTGGCAAAAAAGTAAGGGTGTAAGAGAGTTGAGGAATTTAGAGTGTACTTTTAATTATGATAGGTGTTCACAAGAAGGTGGTCGGGCCTTGAGGAAAGAACGTGCTAGCCAATCACTGTTGCCATGCGATTAAAAATCTTGTCTTGAAATGTGTGTAGACTGAATGATAGAGGAAAAATGGTGACGCTTAGAGCTGTATTGAGGAAGGCAAAGACGGATGTGGTATGTTTTCAGGAGACCAAAATGGAACACATAGATAGGGAGGTGTGGGGGGGGTCAGTATGTGGATTGGACATATTTGCCAGCTGTTGGGGTGGCTAGAGGGGTTCTATTATGTTAAGATCGTAGGGTGATTGAAAAAGAGGAGGATGAGATGGGTGGTTTTTCAATGTCATGTCTTTTTCGCTACATTGGGGATGATTTTCGATCGGTGTTTACGGGAGTTTATGGGCCGGTAAAGGGGTCAGAACGGCCTCTCTTTTGGGAAGAGTTACAGAGTATTGCTTTTTGGTGGTTAGCGCCATGGTGTGTACGAGGTGACTTCAAGGTGGTGCGTCGATCAGAGGAGAAGTTGGGCTTGGGTCCTTCAGTGAGCGTAACGCGGACTTTTTCATCGTTGATTGATGATCTGGAGTTGATTGATTTACCAATGCAGAGAGGTAGCTTCACTTGGTCTGGGGGCCAGGTGTTCTCTTACCATGATCGTTTTTTAATTTCTATGGTTTGGGAAACGCACTTCTCTTAGGTAGTTCAGCAAAGATTAGAGCGTTCAGTTTCAGATCATTGGTTGGTGTTGTTGGACAGTAGTGGGATTTAGAGTGGATCGGTGCCATTGTGGTTTGAAAATATGTAGTTGCAGTCAGATAGTTTTGTGGATATAGTTCAGTTGTGATGGGCAGGGGTGTGAGCGGTGTGGTTCGGGCAATTTGAAAGTAAAATTACAAACCGAATGGCGGATTGACAAATTGTGGTTTAGACGGTTTTTGACGGATTGACGGATTAAAAAATATTCTAACTAATTATCATACATTTGCATAACATATAACACTAATTTGTATAATATTTTACATAATATGTTTCATATATAAAATTACTAATTTGTAATAAATTTCGTATCTTAAATCTCTCGCACACTCATTTTACTTTGATATTTCATTGGAGGTTAAAAAATATATGTATTAACTATAGCGAAGGGAAGCGGTTTGGAAGGAAGATTATAAATTTTTAAGTTTAAATCGTGGTTAGTGGTTAGAGTGGTGCGGATTGATGCGGATCAGTGCGATTTTACCAGATTATGTGGTATTATGCACAACCCTAGTGGTAGGTAGGTTACTACGTGATGAGAGATCCCAGTAGTAGGTTGGCTTAGAAATTAAAGCTTCTTAAGTCTAATTTGTGGAGATGGAACAATGAGGTATTTAGTTAGTTAGAAACTCAAAAGACAAATATTTTGGTTGTGTTGCAGGGGTTGGATGAGAAGGAAGTTGAGGGTAACTTGACCGAGGAGAAGTTGGCGGCTCGGGAAGGGGCAAGGAAGTAGTATT